CCAGGGGGAAACTATTCTTCAGAGCAAAACTGTCAGAAGAATAAAAAAAAAAAGCAATGCTTTGACTGAAAGCTGGAAAGGCACTCTGCACATGGCCAGAGGAAGCCTACTCAACACCCTCCCCACATGAGATATGAAATGCTGGAGACAGGGCAGCTCCTCAGGAAGAGCTGGGCAGTTGCGGCTGAAGCATCCCAAGCCCGCTGCTCTCCTGCTGGGCTGCTGCACCCAGAGGGCCTCCCTGGCTCCAGGGACGGGTCCCTCCGAGCAAGGCGCCGAGGGCAGGAGCGAAGCCCACAAGGGCGGGCGCTTGGGCGTGCTGCCAGCAGGGGGGACAAGGGGGAGAATAAGGGTGGAGGCCACAGGGTGGGCGAGGCAGCTGCCCCTGCCTGGATGAGCAGATGCGCCCTGGCCGGGAGGGAAGCCACGCACCCTGCCTCCCCCCAGCTCAGCCCAGAGTGCCTCGCTCGGGGACTTGGCAGCTCCTGCTCAGTGGGACGGCGGGTGATGCACGGAGGCATCCTCATCAGTGAGCACACGTCTCGCTCCTGTGGCCTGCAGCCAGGGTCAGTGAGGCATGGCCCCCAGTGCTGGGGAGACGGTTGGCGGTGGTGCAAGACAGCGCCTTGCAGGCTCTGGGCTTGTAAAGCAGGGAGGATGGGTGCACGCAAAGACCCTCTGGATATCTTTTGCCTGAAAAGCCAATGGATATTTCAAATGACAATAAAAAGCAGGGCCTGAAACAGAGGCTGCAGCTAGTCATGCCCTCTTCCAGAATTCTCCTTCCACCCCACCCTCATTCTGGGGCCACTGAGCATGCCCAATCCTCATCAGTCTGGCTGGGGTGGGTGGGTGGTCTTTTACATCCCCCTTCTTTTCATGGAAGGGACTTATAATGCCCTGCTCAGTGCAGACTCCACAGTAAAGCATCCCTGACAGAGGGCTATCCGGCTGCATCCTGAACGTTTCTCATGTGGGACAGCCCAGGACCTCCCTAGGGAATTGGTTCCATCGCTGTGCTTCTCGAACAGTCAGGCAGTTCCTCTTGATGTCTACCAGGAATCTGGCTTCCTGCAACTGGAGCCCATTATTCTGCGCCCTGCCCTTTGGGATGCACAGCGTTGGGTATGTCTGCAGACCTTGCAGTTCCCAGGAGCCTGCTGTAGCCCCCCCCCCCCGCACTCCTCCACAGCGGCCCTGGTGGCACGCACCAGCTGAGAGCGAGCCACGAACACCGGATGCATCAACTTGCCGTTGGTGGTGTGGAGCGCCGGGAGAAATAGGCAGAAATGCACCAGCGTTCTAGTGCTGAGCCCAGTGACACAGTGGTCAATTTTGATGTGTACGAGTCCGGCGTGGCAGAACACACGTCAGGCCCCGCAAGGAGATCCCTAAATCCAGGGCTCACCAAAGCAGTTCTAACAGTTCAAAAGGAGGCCCTTTGTAAAGTGAATGTGACCTGATCGATCCCGTTGGGAAAATCTCTTCCCCGCTCCAGTCACCACGAGAACTGCAGCGAAGGTCAGAGGGAGCAGGAATTCTGATGGAGGGATTCGGCTGGGGAGAGACGACTTCAGCTTCCCTGCCAAAAGCAGTGCCTGAGCCCTGATGCCATTGCACCGACGGAGGAGTCCAGACAAGCCCCAGGCTTCCGTGCAAACGTGTTGCAAAGCTGAGTTTCAGTCAGGCTCTTTTTCAGTCCGCGAGATCTGTGCCACCCCCTTTGACCTACTTCCAGAGTGGTCCTGCCCTGTTGCCCCCCACAGCAGCCCCACGCCGCCTCCCACTGGCTTGCCAACATTCATCCGTGCTCTCCCAGGCCCTCTGCCTACCTTGGTAGACAAAGTGGAAGCCTTTGGCAGTGGCTTGGCCTTTGGCACTGAACTTGATCAGTATTTGGTTGCTGGTGGCCAGAGGCAAGGATTCGCCTAAAGGAGGAGAGGAACAAAAGCAGCTGGGCAGCAAGATGCGAGAACAAGGAAACATCACTGATTTCTTCCGCTGTTTATTAAGCATTCAGGCTGCCAATTGTCAAAATTCTCTGGTGGCACACATGTAGATTCCAAATATGAGATACAAACACTAGAACAGGGGTGAGAACAGTGTATACATAAGCCCAGGAAAACCCAGGAGCAACGTTCCAATGAAGGTCCTGCCTGGAGCTGAAGTAAAACCAAGGCAGCAGACCAAGACAGTGAGAAGATCTAAAGCCGTTCTTAAATCTTAGGTTCTTTCAAGGCTTTCCTTGGCTCTGAAAGGGGCCAGGCGAGGCTTTCTGGGGAGCACACTGCATAGATGGAAATCGCAGCTGCCAGGGTGAGGTCCTTCTCTGAGGAGATGTCCTCCAGAAGGGCATGACACGGAAGCCGGTCACCCAGGCTCCTTTTAGAAAAGCACTTGAGAAACTATTCCTTTCCTGGGAGCATCTCCAAGTAAAGCATGGAAGAGAAGAACTTTTCCTTACCTGTGTGAGAGCCGGAGAGGGAGCCGAGGAGACGGGAATGCTGGTTGGGGCCATCGTGCACCTCGATGATGTCGTGGAGAGCCGTCTGGAAGAAGGCAAACTGACCGAACACGACTGTCAAAGAAGCACACCAAGGGGGAAATGGCATCATCAGAGGAAGGTTAACGGCCACATGTTTATCATGACCCCTTCTGGAAGCGGCTCCAGTTCGGTTTTCTTCGCAGAAATGGAGAGAACGTGGGGCCACTGAGAAACTTGAAGGAGGTTTCAGCACAGCTGGATATATCCTCAGTGAAGCAGGACTTTGAAGTTCAAAGGCAACCCCCCCCCCACACACACAAAAGGACAGCCTAAGGAGGAACGTACTCAGTAGTCTCAAGGAACACAGAAAGCTAAACATCCTTGCAGGCTAGGGTATCAGAGGAAGGAGATGTCTGGGAGTCTTGAACAAGCAACGGGCAGCCTTATACTGCAACCTTTTTTGCAGGTCTCATTTGTCAGCAACGCTATTTAATATCTTACCCACAACGCTAAGCCAGCTGTTGTCTTGTCTCTCTCTCTGTCTGTAGCGCACATTTGCAGATAATGCACACTAGCGAAGGCAAGGCAAATCTGAGGAACTGTGAACATTTCCTGAGAATTGTGTTCCTGCTCGTGTTTGTTTATTTGTTTGTTTGTTTAGAATGTTTGTATGCTGCCCCACTGCTTATAGCCTCGGGACGGCTCACATAAACAAATAAACATAATACAAATACAATTAAAAACCTCAGAAACACCCTGGCTGAACAATCAAAACCTATAGATATTAAGTGTTCTTAAAATATGTTTTAAATAAAAAGGTCTTAGCCTGGCGCCGAAAAACAAATAGCGGTGGCGCCAGGCAGACCTCTCTGGGGAGCGCATTCCATAGGTGGGGCGCCACGGCAGAGAAGGCCCTCCTCCGGGTATTTTGCCTCCTGATGTCTTTCATGGAGGGCTCCCGGAGGAGGGCCTCTGCTGCCGATCTCAAGGGGCGGGAGGGCAAATATGGAAGCAGGCGTTCCTTTAGGTATCATGTTTGTGTCCACTGTTGCAAATGGGGCCACTTTGTGAACAGGAGCAACTCTTTGGTGCCCCTCATGCCTGCCCTGCACCTGTACTTGCCCTTCCAGTGACTTCAGAGATGGCTGGTACTGACCAGCTTCCTAGGGAAGGGAAGGATGAATGCAAGAGTTGTGGGAAAAGTCCTCTGAGTGCCACGGAGGGTGGTATTAAAAGCAATGGGGTAGGTTGTGGGCCAGCACTGGCTCCCCACGAGGCACCAACTGATTGGCAGCCGCTCAGCGGCAAAACCAGCTGGTACCCAGTAAACCATAGCTGGCCTTGGGACACATCACACGTCAGCAAAGCTTAGCTTCAGTGCAGCAATATAGTTAACTTCGACATGTGTTTGTGTGTGTGTTGGGGATGGGGAAGGAACAATTGCAAAAGCACTGAGATAGCTTTCTTTTACATTTCTCTTGTTGATTCTGAACATACATGTACCATTTTTGACAACTTGGGTGAAGTCTTTTTTTCCCCAAAAGAGAACTTCAGATAGCTAATTACTTATTTTTGAAACTCAACATTAAGGAAACTAAGATCATGGTATCTGGTCCTATCACTTCCTGGCAAAGAGATGGGGAAGAAATGGAGGTTGTGACAGATTTTATTTTCCTGGGCTCCAAGATCACCGCAGATGGGGACTGCAGCCAAGAAATTAAAATATGCTTGCAAACTGGGTAAATTAAAAAATAATTATTAAAATAAAATAATTTTAAAATATTTTTAAAATAAAAAATAAAACCAAGAGTAGGGTAGGGTAGAGTAGAGTAGAGTAGAGTAGAGTAGAGTAGAGTAGAGTAGACAACCTAGATGGAGCAAATTTCTCACTCTGCAACGAGCAACAGGAATCTTATCAATTTGAAGTCCTTGCCATGGTACAGCACCAACTTTATTATAAGGTTAGGTGCAGTCTGGAGAAAGATAACTTTTCTCCCTGCAGCTCTTTCCATTGAACAAACTTTTGATCATTCAAGAGGCAAAATTGGGAAGAACTCCCTAAGGCAAACACATAATTCATCCACTGTCACATAACGTGGTAATGGCTGCCAACTTAAAATGCCTTTAAAAAGAGATTAGGAAAATGGATGGAGTTTGATATGCCTTGTGGCTACCAGAATGTCAGGACAACCCGTGGCAGACGACTGCACAGCACTTTGGAGGAAGAGACCTGCTGTGTGTCCCATCCTGCTTTCTGGACACAAGTCATTGAACGAGGTGGACCTTGGATGACATGCACCAGGGCTTTTCTTACATCCTCATTTGTGAGTCTTGTCCCATGCGAAGGGGGGCAGAATTCGTGGCAAAATGCCCTCTGGCCCAGAGGCCACTGATAGGAGAAGGCCCAGAAGTGCAGACATTCCAGGCAGGAATGGAGGAATGGTGGGTGCTAAGCACTGAGCCTCAAGTCGAAATTCTGGGATCAGAGGCCCCACAGAAAAGGAAACTGGGCTGCATGGGAGCAGAGCTCATCTGAACATCAGGGCTTTTCAAAATGATGGCTTTAATTGTAAATATCTGGGAGACAAGCATATTCCCCCCCACCACTAGAAGTGAGAGGAAAAGAAATAACAGGGAGATCATTAGAACATTAAAAAGACAGTGGCTGAAGTTTTTGGGTTATTTGGGAGAGGGTGCGCATGTGTGTACTCAAAACATAGCAGCAGCTTTCAGCTTTGAAACCGCAAGGCTCAAATTCCTGTCATTGTCGTCACTTGTTTTTCACTTGCAAGATTGGTTATTTTCAACTCACAAATGCCCATTTGCAGATTCACAGGCACCTTGGCCTCTCACTAGGAAATTTCAATAGCAAAGCGCGTGGCAAGGCTTGTGAACTTGGCGAAATCAGCTATTGTGCTGAAATGCTGCAGGGAACCCACTTCTGATCTCCTCCCGATGCCAACAAAGCCAGTGTGGTGCAGTGGTGAAGAGCAAGGGACTGGGACTCAGGCGATCCGGGTTCGAGTCCCCGCTCGGCCATGGAGCCAAGCGGGTAACTCTGGGCCAGGCACAGACTCTCAGCCCAACCCACCTCACAGGGTTGTTGTTGTTGTGGGGATAAGATGGAGGAGGAGAATGAGGTAAGCTGCCTTGAGCCCTTTGTAGGAAAAAGGCAGGAGATAAATCGGGGAAAAACACAAAAACGAACAAAACAAAACACAAAGGAGGTCTCCAGAGGAGACTCCCAGTGGCCTGTGGCGCTTAGGACTTGCTCTGCAGATTGGACAGTCAGGAAGGAGCTACATCTGCTAAGCACTGGAGAGGACAAGGTCTCCTCTTCTCACACGAGTGGGATACACAAAGTTAGGCTCTGGAATCCCACCAGTACCACGTCCCCCCTGGCCATGGGGCTGCAAAATACAGGGGGAGCTTGGAGGCTCAGCAAAATAAGACAAGCTGTTTTCAACATATACTTAATATGCATAATGTATGCAAACCACAGCAATGGTTTTATTTTGAGAACCGAATTCAGGTTATCTTGACACACCTTTCAATTTTTGTCACTGCTCTCAAAACGCTGCTTTAGAGGAAACTGTCGGAGGGAATCTTTGGTGTTCTATTAATTTGCCTAGACAACAGGGTACTCTTAGATAAAGAGAAGCAGCAGCTTCTGGGGTACTATTAGAAGACAACACAATACCAAATAAACAAGCTGTTCTTTATCCTAATTTGACCATCCTGCAAGGCACCTTCTGGGTTTCCTGCTTCAAGCAACAGAGTATCATGGGCTGCCTCTGCTGAGTTAAACTGTAACTTTTAAGATCACCTAAAAATTGGAACTTGTGAACACCCAGAAAATACCATAGTCTTTGGGCACAACGATGAAATACAGGCACACTTGTCCACTGGTGTAGTTCCGGGGATAGTTTGGTGAAAGGACAACCCCGTCTGACCCGATGTATTGGCCTCCGCATGGTGCTGAAACAGATTAAGAAGAAGTGCCGTCAGGTTGCATGCCAATCCCCAGCGCTCTTCCCCATTTCCCTTCAGACAAGCCTCACAGCATCTCTTAATTCAGTGCGCAGCACGCAGTCGGCACACTGCAGTCTCTCATTAAGGAGACACAGACTTCTCCCTTAGCAGAACCGGCGCCTGATACATATTTCATCAGGAATACTGTGCCATCAACTGGAAGGGGTAACTCCTTAATATGCATTTTTCTACAGCCTCACTTTGCTCTCAAAAGGCAGGATTGTATAAGAAATGTGGGAACTGTGGGGTTTCTTGACCTGTGGGGCTTGGCACATGAGCATGTCCGTCTGAGTATGCTGTATCTGTGCACAACAGGGAAACCCACATCTGCCCGTTTTGGTTTCTCTTCATTTTTCTCAGGTTCAGTTTGTCACAATCTTTGAGCTAATTCTTTTCTTTTTTCAGATTCACGTGAAAATTTGCACATATGTTTGAGTGTACTTTCCTAATAGATGTATTTTGTTTGCTATTTTGAATAGTAGACACATTCTGGAAAGGAAATTAATGTGTAGCATTATTAATTATTATTTTTCACTAATACACACACTGTGTGTGCCCTTCCCATAACATAACTCAGGTTTTGATTAGAAGACTCTTTTGCAAAACTTCCCTGTTAGGGAAGCAGTTAGGGTTTTTTTTTAAGGATAACTGAATTTTGGTTTGGGTGCTGACTCAAAAAAAAAAAAAAAAAAAAGAAGAAGAAGAAGTGCAAAACTGGAAATTCTTTTCTGTTTGAACTCAATCGTGATTTCATTCCGGTACGCAGCACTGAACGACACTGACGCTCCTCCTTGGGGCAGTGGCCTTCTCCCCACCATACCTGTACACACCGGCCGTGGTTTATTCCACACAGGTTTCCCATCTCCTCCCATGATGCATGTCAAGGTAGACACCCCTTCAATCATGTAGCCACTGTCGCAGTGATATGTGATGGTGGATCCCAGTTTCAATTCGTTTCCAGCCCGAGTACCATTCTTAATCAAGCCAGGATCAAAGCAGGATTCCCTTGGGTTTTCTGCAACGAGATAATACTCAAAACGTTAATTAGATATGACCAGTTGTCACCTCTCCTTTGTATCCAGGCACTAAAGAAGTGTCTTAGACCGAGAAGATGTAGCTTCACGGGCCGATCACAGGCTTGGACGGAAGAAGGCATATAGGAGAAGCGAGATCCATGTTCAGGTACCTGATAAATGGCCCAAACTGGACACCGAGGCTGGGTTCACAGGACATGACAAGCCCTGGTACCTTTTCAGCTGCAGGGTCTTGCTGTGCCATCTGAACCGAGTGTGTCTCCCAGGGGATGGCTTACAAGCCACCCCAGCTAGCCCTGGCTTGTAGTGTCACCTGAGCCTGGACGACACTCCCAAGCCGCAGCCGACCCCAGAGGCTCCGGAATCCCTTCTCAAGAGGGATGGCAAGTGGTCGCCAAGTAGCCCTGGCCAACAGTGGCCAGCAAGGGGCGTCTGCTGGCAGCTTGCTCCCACGTGCCTTTGATCCTGGGACGGGGATGCTCCGAAGTGATCCCAGGCCTCCCAGCGTCAGCAGGGGTGCGTGAGGAAGCAACTGCCCCCACCCCCACCGCTGCTCGCTCAGTCTCCACTTGGGGCCTGGAGAGGCAGTGCCTGGCCAGCAGGGGAGTCCCTTGGCGTTGCCTCTTCTCCGGGAGAGCAAGGCAAGAGCTCCTCCCTGGGCACCTCCTCCCACTATGGCCTGTGGCCCCATTGCACCACCGGGATAATCAGAAGCCTCCAGTGAAGAGAAACAGGGAGACAATTCCGTTTGTCACTGCCCCTGTGAGGAGGCAGGGGGCTCAGCCCTTTCCGGGGGCCTTCCACAGAGCAGGGCCGAAGATGACAGGGCAAGGCTGGGAATCTGTGTGGGGAGAGCAACTCGCGAGAAGACCGCAGCCGGGAGACACGGGCGAGCGCACAGTTGTGCGGGATTGCCGACGGAGCAGGAACAGCTGGGCTGGGTGGAGTGGTGCAGGGGAGGGGGGCAGAGGAGGAGGGGGGTGAGCAAAGGGACGGAAGGGAGGCGAGACAGCGGAGACACACGTGTGGAGAGCGGGCAAGGCGGTCGCTGGCCAGCGAGCCAGCACCAACGGAGAGCGGAGACTGGGGAGCATTCTGGATTCTGGCGGGGCAATGCCCTTCGTTGCCATAGAGGCAGGAGGGGAGGGAGCCAGAGCAGGCCGGGCCAAGGCGCTGCGGGAAGCGAGCCGGTGACAGTGTAAGAGGCAAGAAAGACCCGGTGAGCGCACTGTCCTTCTGGTGTTGCTCTTCATGGAAAATCAAGGAAGAGGCAGCTTTCGCCGGCACCCCTCTCCTGACACAGTCACAGCCCCATACAAGCAGGAGGAGTTTCCATCTTGTGCCACAGTCCTCAAAATCACCCCCTTCGCTCTGATTAGCAGGAAGCCAGGCAACCCAGCACCCTTCCTTTCCCTGGGGGGCTGTGGCCAGGAGGGTGGGGAAGGGGGGGAGTCATCTCCCCGCTCTGCTGAGCAGGGGAGCAGGCTTTCCCCACCGTCCAGCTCCTCCACCCTGTGCGCCTGCCCGTTGTGGGAGGGCAGCGTTGCTTGTGAGCAAGCTCTCCCCCAGCATCGGCAGGGGTGGGGGATGACTGCCTGACTTGGGTGACCAACCAAGAGTCTTCATGCCAACCGCCAGTCACAGGATCTGATGTTGCGTTGCGGGTATTCTGCTTAAATCCCACCTTTCCCTTCAAAGGATCAAGACAAAGTGATCCTTCTCTCTATTTCATCCTCACAACAACAACTCTGTCAGGTAGGCTGGAGTGAGTGTGTGTAACTGGCCCAAAGTCACTCAGGTGGCTCCCTGGCTGAGTACAGGGACTAGAACCCAGAATGCCTGAGTCCTATGCTCCTAACCACTACACCACACTGTCTCTGTCCTCTTCGGTGGAAAAAAAGTTTGAGCCTTGAGCTCACACAGCTCCATGTCATGCACCTGGCTCACCCCCAGCCTCAGGCCGTCAGGTTCTGGGTTCAGAACCTCAGTCCCTGACAGAAACATGGGGAATCTGGTTGAAATGCACTTTATAGCAATGGCAAGGCTGAAAATGACTTTGCAGCAGCGACTATGAAGAATTTGAGCCTTTGTGAGGAATCACTCTGCTGAAAAATACCAAGGATACAAGGGAGAAGTGCTCTGCTTCCTTGTTCGGGTTCATTCCTATCTGTCCTGATTTTAACTACACTGCTTGCGTGTTTATGAAAAAGAGAATTCAGAGCTGCAGGAGAGGAAGAGATGGATTGGATGGACTCAGTGTGGGGATCCAGGAGCACTGGGGCTGGAGTCGAGTTAGAGGACAGTTCGTGGCTGATGGCTCCACCTTGAAGGAGAAAGGACCGCCCATGGTCTCCAGAAGGGCAAGTGGGCACCAGAACCCCCTGTGGACCATGGCAATGTGCTTGGCTTTGACTGACCAGAAGCAGGTGGCAGTTCCGATGAGGTGCCACAGAGGCCTGTCTGGGACCAACAGGGAGATCCGGGTTCAGTACGTGATGGGAAAAACGGTCATTTAGTTCTCAAGAGCAGCTGCTGGGGACAGACAGAGGGCTGTTACGGAGATCTGGGCTGACGGTTTCTGAATTTAGGCTGAACCCCACGGAGATCACGTTGGAGCTCACACAGCTAAGACTGCGCAATGGACAGGTTTTCTCTCAAAATATGCATCTGGGTTTGGAGGCGAGAATGCTGCAGAATCTTGAGGAGGTGCATAACCTGGTACACAGCTCAGCACCAGTCCTCAACTTAGTGCAAGCGGATTGGTAAGGCTGTATTGGAAGACACAAAAAGCAAATCCCTCAAGTATCTTTCCTCCTGATCTATGGTTTCTCCTCATAAGTCATCTCATAGACAGACCGACAACTCAGCCAAGATAAGGGAAAGAGAACTACAGGTAGTCATATAAAATGAAAATATTTTTGCACTTCTCTCCATGGCTCACCAATTCTTTAAACAAAATTAAGCAGGATATGATCCTATACATATGTATAGAATCCTACACAATGTGACATTCCCATCAAGCTTTTATCTGGCAAAACTTTCTTTTCTTTTCTTTTCTTTTCTTTTCTTTTCTTTTCTTTTCTTTTCTTTTCTTCCACCTCCTTTCTCATCTTTTTAAATGTGCACATGAAATGTAATGAGGGCCCTTGATTAAACCAGAGCTTTTGTAATTTGAAAATTGTTCATTAAAAGCAATCAAGCTTTTTATGGCATTTTATTTTAATTGTGAAAGGTGCAGCTCCAGGAAAAACAATCAGAAAATGTATCTAGGATTTTGATTTTATCGATTCTTTCTTTAAAATAAAATCTTCTCCAAAGATTCAGAGCCTAAGAGGTCCTCGTTATCTGTGAAAAGTAGAGCTTAATCCATTGGTCACTTTGTGTGTGGTGCGCTGCAGCTGAAGAGGGCAGACAGGTCTGGAATTTTTTCAGCTGGAACTGAGCTTCCAGATGCTACAAATCGAAAATGCTTCTGCTAAATGGGAAACATTTATTTTAGATTGGGGTTTCCTCAAGCATTTTGAACTTCTAAGTGTTTTGAACTTCGGTCTCTGAGCTAGTACCAGCAATCTATTCTGAGGTGGATGTGCCAAGATGGTTTCACCGAGTCATAATCGACCTGTTTCTGCATACAAGGAAATCTAATCACATTAGAAAAGAATACAATATTTTCTAGATGAGTCTCCAGAACCTACTGCTTTAATTCAGACTGCTTACAGAATCAAGATCAGATCTCTACACAAGTGTTCCTTTCCTTTCCTTTCCTTTCCTTTCCTTTCCTTTCCTTTCCTTTCCTTCCCTTCCCTTCCCTTCCCTTCCCTTCCCTTCCCTTCCCTTCCCTTCCCTTCCCTTCCCTTCCCTTCCCTTCCCTTCTTGCCTGTGCCAGCTTTCTCCTATATAACCTCTAGCTAGCACCAAGGTATAGTGAAGCAATGCAATAACTCTGTGCAGATCTTTGAGTTGCTTTTGATGCAAAACACAAACAAGAACCCTTTCCTTACCTCTAACCACAAAAGTGCTTGGAAAACAAAGCAATAATTCTACAGGATGCCACACCACCCAAAGTACCATAAACAATCATGAATGGCCAGCAGCAAATGCACAAAAACAGCCTTATCTGGAATGCTCCAAGGGCAGAATGATAGCCACTGCAGAACAGGGGCAGCTCCCAATATTGAATATAATAAACAATAATAATACGAGTTGACCTGGCCCGAAAAATAAAATAAATAAATAATATTAACAATTAAAATAACGTTTGAATAAAAAGGTCTTCGCCTGGCACCGAAAAACAAATAACGACGGCGCCAGGCGGACCTCTCTAGGGAGCGCATTCCATAGACTGGGCACCACCGCAGAGAAAGCCCTCCTCCGGGTACTCACCCTCCTAATGTCCTTCACGGAGGGTTCCCAGAGGAGGGCCTCTCCTGCTGATCTCAAGGGGTGGGCGGCCATATAGGGACGTAGGTGCTCCTTCAGGTAACCATGGAAGGCAAAGCAGTTTCGTGCCAAGTCAGACAATTGATCTGCCTAGCCAGTGTCTGTGCCAGCCTTCACCAACCTTCTCTAGCCTGGTGCCCCCCGAAAGTTTCAGCCTTCGCTCCACGAGAATTTGAGAGCTAGGAGTAGTACCAAGATGGGCCATTTTTGTTCCCAAACCAAACCACCTCAGGCAAGGCAAGGCAAAGGCTGCCAATGAAAGGGCTTTGTCTGGCTGAATGTTTCCCCAGGAGGTCTCCGCTGGAATGGCTTTCAGCTTTCAGCTTTCAGATCTCATTTTAGGCTTAAACATTCCTGCAGCAAGGCATAACTGCACATAACAGCCTTGACCTCTTGACTTTGGATTAGCTTGACAGTAGTTTGGCCTGTCAAATCAGCAGCATAACAACAGACAAACCAACCAACCAACCAACGATCCCCTTACTTTCAATGGATTTTAACTGACTTTAATTTTGTTTTGCTGGAGTTTTTCTGCTCAAAC